CATGGAATGAATAGGACGGATATTGTTAAGGACCCGTGAAGGTAAACGGTTGATCAAAAAAGTTGCAGCTAATACTGCTTTTCCCCAATAAGAACTAGGAACAGATGTCTGAAAAAGTAGTGCTCTAGCAACTTCAAGAAGGTGACGATTTTTCCTTTCAGCAACCCCGTTTTGTTGAGGGGTATCAACACATGTGAGCTCATGAATCATACCTCTGTCTGAAATGAATTGTGACAGGCGTTGATTGACGTACTCAGTACCATTATCAGATCTGAGTCTTTTAATACCCTTACCAAACTGAGTCTCAACCATGTGATGAAACCGAATAAATATCTCTGGTACTTCAGACTTGTCTTTCATCAAGTATATCCATGTTATCCGAGTACAATTGTCAATAAAAGAAACAAACCACCTAGCACCTGAAACACTGTGCACTTTAGAAGGGCCCCAAACATCAGAATGGATAAGAGAAAAAGGTTCCCTGCTTTTAATAGTGCTAGAAGGAAATGACACTCGATGGTGTTTTGCAAATTCACAAACATCACAATGAAAGGTCTCAACCGACTTATTGAGAAACAGAGAGGGGAACATAGACTTCAAAAGACTAAATGGTGGATGCCCGAGACGCTTGTGATGGAGCCAAATCATAGACTCTGCAGTAGAAGGATGACTTGTCATTAATAACTGATTTTTGCTAGCATGGTCTGGAAGGAGATGATACAACCCATCCTGTTCATTAGCAACTCCAATTGTCTTCTTCGTGGTAAGATCCTGAATAAGACAATGAGAAGGAAAAAATATGATAGAACAATTCAAATCAGTTGTAAGTTTTTGAGTGGAGATAAGATTAGTAGAAAGCTGAGGAACATAAAGAACATTTTTAAGAAACAAGGAAGGTTGAATTTGAATGTTACCAGAACCAATAACTGATTTATGGGATCCATCAGCTACAGATATAGTATGACTACCAACAGTAGGATGATAAGAACAAAACAACTCAGTACGACAAGCCATATGATCAGTTGCACCAGAATCCAAAATCCACGAGGTTTTAAAATCAGTGCAAGAAGCAAGAAGAGATATAGAACGTGTACTCTTACCAGATAAGATCGAAGAACTATCATGCCCGGCCATTCTTTAACAAAAAAAGTTAACAACCAGCGATAAAATCAACCAAACAGAATATCAAATGACCTCTGATCAGAAAAATAATTACAGATCCAGACAGAAGACAAGAAGACGAGAAGAATGGTGGTGGTCCGGTCCAAAAACACGGCCGCACGCGCCTCCACGCGCCGGAGAAAGGAGCTGCGCGTGGGATTCACTCGCCGGGAAAGGGGCGGCGCGTGAGAGCGCGTGGATGGGCTTCGCCGGCTGAGATTTTTCTGGTGTGGTCGTCCGGTGAGTGCGCACCTGTCTGTGGGTGGTCGCGGTTGAAAAGTCGCCGGAAAGTGGTCCAAACGGTGAAGACATATCTGATTGGAGGCGATCGGAGGTGTTTCGGTCGTTTGTGGCGGAGGAACACTGCGTAGAATGATAGATCAGAGGAAAAATAAGGTCAACAATGGTCCCCTTGGTCCAAAAGGTCCCCGGAAAAAATTTCCGGTGGCGGCTAATGGCTGCAAGAGGCAAAGTAATTAGGGTTTTGTTAAAAAAGAAGATAATATGTGCGGAAGCAAAGCCCTCAGATCGAGAGCTCTGATACCAACTTGAAAAAGGGTATTCTAATATATTATAGAATTGTAAATAATCTGTACAAAGGGTTCTCTATTTATAGAGAATATTTGACCTACTTTTAACCTAATGGGGTTGGCCCAATACAACAAAGGGCTTGGCCCAATACAACAATAAATGACTAAATAAAAACTAAATAAAAACTAAATCAATATTATTTACAACACTACCTTTTCTTAATCTATACGACACTCGGGAATTGAAAAACTAGGTGAGCCTCATTCTGCATTAACGCTCTTAATTATATATGGTACTTGATGCACAATTGCTTGGAAAAATCTTTGAGGTTTTTCTTGCCTAGGTTTCATGGGTAAATCATCTTGATCCTCGAAAGATTTTTGAAATACCAATTAGTTCTCATTTTTAGATTTTTCCACCTATTTATCGAAAACTTTACTAATTTGGTTAAAACTCTGTGGAACCCGTATAAGAGACTTAGAGGATTCTGTCGATTTAAATTTTTTTTCGTTATTTAAGGCTCTATGAGTTAGTTTTAGGAGGAAAGGAAAGGAAACAGAGAATTTTAGTAAATTTGTTTGTGAGTTTAAAAAAATGAGGGGAAGAAATTGAGGATTTTTACTAAATCCTCCAAAATCTTTCTTCTTCTTAAAATTAAAGTTCCTCCAATATAGGGGGTTTAAGGAGAAAAATATTAAAATTTGATAACTACATAAATGTAAATCATTTTTAAATGTGACGTTATTAGAAAAGTCTCAAATACCAACGGAAATTATTGATGAAAAATATTTTGTCAAAAATAGTGATGAAATTTTTGATGAAAATCATATACATCAAAAAATTTCCGTAAAAACTAAATACGAAATTAGATACGGAACCAGATTTTGCCATAATAACTGTCATAACCTTTTTACGGAAAAAAAATTCAGAAAAAATTAATGATAGAATCTAAATTCCGTCAAAACTTTCAACGAAAAATTTTCGTCCAAAATTTTGACGAAACACATTTCCATCGAAAAGTTTCGACGTAAAACAATTATGTCAAATTTTTTAATAGAAAATATTTTCAACAAAATTTTCCGCAAAAATATTCGACGAAAAATATTTTCTTCAAAATTTGTGACTAAAAACATTTTTGTTAAAAAATTTGTCGGAATTTTTTTTTTATCAAAATTCTTTACGAAACCTAAATTTCGTCAAAACATGTCCCTCAAAATATTTCACAAAAAAAATATTCATGGAAATTTTTCAGGAAAAATATTTTCATCAAAATTTTTAGCGAAACTCATTTCCATCGAAAATTTTTGACGGAAAAAAATTTCATCAAAATTCTTTAGATTCCGTGAAAAATTTCCATCTTTAAATTTTGATGGAAATATTTTTCGTGAAAATTTTTGATCAATTCTTTTTTTTGTGAAATTTTTTGAAGGAAATGTTTTCGTGAAATTTAGATTTTGTAAAGAATTTTGATAAAAAAAATTTCCGTCAAAATTTTTACAAAAATATTTGTAGTCACAAATTTTGAAGGAAATATTTTTCGTCGAAAATTTTTGCGGGAAATTTTGATAGAAATGTTTTCCGTAAAAAAATTTGATGTAATTATTTCATGTTGAAACTTTTCGATAGAAATGTGTTTCGTCAAAATTTTGGACGCAAATTTTCCGTTGAAAGTTTTGACGGAATTTAGATCCTATCAAAATTTTGGACGAAAATTATTTTAATGATTATGTAAAAATCTGGTTCCGTCTCTAATTTCGTCTTTAGTTTTTACAGAAATTTTTTGATGTATATGATTTTCATCAAAAATTTCATCAATATTTTTGACAAAATATATTTCCTCGATAAATTATGTCGGTATTTGAGACTTTTCTAATAATGTCACACTTAAAAATAATTTACATTTATGTAGTTTTCACATTTTAATGCTAAGGGTAGATAAGTAATTTTTAATATTTTCTCCCTTAAACCCCCTAAATTGGGGGAACTTTAATTTTAAGAAGAATGAGGATTTTGGAGGGTTTAGTAAAAATCTCTAATTTCTTCCCCTCATTATTTTTAAACTCACAAACAAGGGAAGGACTTATTAAAACCCTCCATTTCCTTTCCTTCCTCTCCTAAAATCAACTCCGAAACAAAGCGTAAGTCTCCATCAATTAATTCTCCCCACAAATTAGTTACTCTTTAGTGTGAGTGTGCGACCTATTTTTGCTTACAAATGTTTTTTTTTATAAATGATCACAATTATTTTATAAACACTATAACCATTTATTTAATTTTAATAAAAATAAAAAAGATAATTGTAAAAGTTCATAAGCAAAAATAAATTATAAATATAACATCGAATAAATACTTAACTCTCAAGAAGCGAATAGATATTTTAGAAATTTTTAAGAAACAAATTTAGGGTTATAGCTTTATTTATTTTATTTTTTATTTATTTTTATATAAATCACAGGTATCCTCCACTGAGGCAATCGTGTTCGAGATGAGACTAGAATTAAAACTTTAAATCTCTCTCAAAGATGGTACTGGATAGGATCGAACACATGCTCTATCTCGCGCTGCTCAACTCTTATGCATCAACTCAGCTACCATCATTTGGTAGCTTTTTGTTTCATTGTAATTTATTCAGAAATAATAATTAATTAATTAATGTTACCCAATAAATTATAAGGGCCAGAGCTAAAGAAATCAACTATTAAGATGATTTGGTGTAAGATATATAACTTTTACACTATTATAAGTTGATCTTGTCCCTACACACACATATAAGGGCAAAAAAATTACAATATTACACTTTTAATAATTAATTATGAATAGGTTGCAGTTTGAATACTATTTTCGGATTTATTGCAGTCATTCCCGCTCAAAATGGGCGGGACAATTCACGCCCATGTTATGCGTGAATTCCACGTCATTCACGCCCAAAATAGGCGTGATTAGTCACACCCCATGCAGGCGTGAATCAAAGGGTATTCCAGCCTCATCTAGGCGTGACTCAGCCCCCTTTCCAGCCCACTTTGGGCGTGAATACCACCTATTTTTCTTATATAAACACCTTCCATCTCCACATTCATCACAACTCTTCATCTCAACTTCTTAGTCTTTGATACAGTCTCACTTGCTTATGCATACTATATTTTGTGTTTTTCTTTATTAATATATTTAAGAATGAGTTCACATTCTGATTTTGTTCGTGTTGTTTTATATTATAATGGTAGGAAAATGGAAGGTCGACGTGGTGTCATTTTTTAAGGCGAGAAAAGGCCAACACGTATCATGCAGAACTCAACAATTAGCGAACTACATCAAAACCGAATGTCAAGAGATATTCGAGGCTCATCCAGTGTCTGGGCCGGGGGAGCTTGTGATCCTGGCTCCTCCACCCTGGAGGACTCTCTGAATACAGGAATTAAGCACCCAATCTCCTCATGAACCCAGTCTAAATTGAAGGTCTCAAAATGCTCAGGAGTAGTCGCGAAATAAAATATCTCCAGACTATCAATCTACAATAAAAATAAAAAAGACAGTGTAAATAAATGAAAAAACTTATAAAGTAAGAGACTTTAGAAAACATACACTGCGTCCAATCTTCGCCGCCCTCCTGGATACATAACGCTTGCCTCGGAGTCGATACCAATCCATATACTCATGGTTTGGTGACATCAGCCCAGCCAATGGGGGGCAGCTGACCTATGTGTTGAGCCCTGATCTGCCATCTATGTATGAATGGTCTGAGCTTAACTTGCTAGTTATCAGGCCATTTACCTCGAAGCGTGTGATCATGAACCCCTTTGAGCTTTCTAGGCCTCAAAGGTATCAGATGGTCCAAACCAAACTGTCTTAAACATCAATCTCGTTGGCACTGTTCAACCGTATGAAAACATATGATCGGTGTCCTAGCCAACCAAAGATATCGCTCATCTGTAAGTATGTCCAAGAAATGATAGTTCCCGTACGGCTGCCAAACAACCTACAAAAAATATGATGAATTTCCATAACGTATGATTTTGGCAACAAGAGAAAATAATAATCATAATTTCTCCAAAAAAAATATAACATAGCTCCTCCCTAGTCAACGTGTCTAGAGTCCCCCGATATAGAAGGTGATGTTGTGTTTTAAAGAGGACTAAACCATTAAACCTGTAAGGCAAAATGAAACATATGCAAGATTATTAATAATTTGTTACAGATAAATTAAAGTATAATTCTTATACAAATGACACATACCGGTGCCCGAAGTGCCACTCTGGGTGAGTAAGCTGAGGAAGAGGAGGAGCAATAGGTGGAAACCTGGTCCACGCCCATATCTGCAGCAGTATATGACACCCACCCATGTTTGATCTGCGCGGGTCAGTAATCTCGCACAATTGTCTAAACAAATGTGCGAGAACAGCAGATCCCCAACTGTATTGACCAATGTCATCAAAATCTCCTGCAAGCAACGCAATGTAGCGACATCCGACGACGCTACCTCCAGATTTGTCGCAGAGAAGCCATGATCCCAACATACGCGCAATGTGTGCCTTAGTAAAAAATATAACCTGCTGTGGATCCGCAGCACTTGCACCCAAATGCGCGTAATGTCTGTCTAAATATGAGAGCTTGACATCCCCGTACGGCTGCTCTGAAACGAGCGGGGCGTGGCCAAGCACTTCCTCGCACAGGACTCGCTCGTTCGTGGATGTAGCACCCGTAACCACTTTCCCATCAGTCGGCAATTCCAATATAGCCGTAACATCCTGTAACATAATGGTCTTCTCGCCCTGCGTCATGTGGAACGTGTGTGTCTCTGGTCTCCACCTCTCCACCAGAGCACTGATCAACATGGGATCAATCTGAAATAAATAAGACATTTATTATCAAAATAAACTTGCTTAAGCATACACTAAGATTTTCACATTTATTATTAAATTAAAAGTCATATGACCGGTACTTTCATATATGCGTACCTGAACATGCCGCATGCGGGCGACATGTAGGAAGCCAGCCTGCTGTAGGTAGTCTGCCATGACATCGGGAATATCATCAGGAGATGGCCCCCTGCATCTTTCCACGTCTAGTCTTGCACTGGCGACACTTCTCCTCGTTCCCCACAACCTGTGAAACATGTGTGCGCTATGTGTGCCTCCTAAATACGTCCCACCTGTATGGTCCTGGAAGCACGTGGGTCCTGGGATCCGAAGGCTCGCCTTGAGCCTCAATATCGGATGTAGACCGAGGTGACTCCGACGATGACGAGTCAGCCATAATAGTGTACTATACACAATAATAAATTAATTGGTTTCGTTAATATATTCAAAAGTCATTACATTACTTACATGTAGGGGTGTTAACGAGCCGAGCCGAGCCGAGCTTTGGTCTTAACGGGTCGAGCCTGTGTTCAAATGTGTCAGACTGGCCTTAGCCTGTTACCTGTTACGAATATAATATCAGCCTGTGGCCTGGCTCATTTACAAAAAATAAAAGCCTTGTTAAGCCTGTTAGCCTGTTTAAAAAAAATAAGACAACAAAAATTCATCCAAACAAAATATACAATCAACAGCACTAGTAATTCCATAAATATTCATAAATTTAATGTATATCCAAATAGCATAATATAAAACAAAATCATTTAAAAAGTCTGTTTAATTAATAAAATGAGATGAAATGAATTGAGAAGAGAGAGAAGGCTATCACAAGTAGTATAAAAAATAAAAAATAAATAAATAAATAATATATTAGGCAAGCCTGAGAGGCTCTAAGGCCGAGCTTTTGAATTGGAGCCTGATGCCTTTTTATTAAACGAGCTTTTATACAAGTCCAAGCCTGGGTCCAACAATCAATTTTAGACATGTAAGCTCAGGCCTTCACGAGCCGAGCCAAAGGCCCCTGACTCGTTTAGCACCCCTACTTACATGTGTTACAAAAATTAACTAATTACATGTGTTACAAAAAATATTAATTTACATGTGTTAAAAAAATTTAATTACTCGTGTTACAAAAAATATTTAATTACATGTGTTACAAAAAATTATTAATTTACATGTGTTAACAAAAATATTAAATTACATTACCTACAAAAAAATATTTAATTAAATCTGTACAATATTCCTAGTTCACTAATGTATTCCACAGTCACTATTGTATTCCACAGTCACTATTATATTCCTAAGTCATTATTATATTCCTAGGGTTTAAGACACTACTTTAACATATTTCTAGATCACTATAATAACATATTTCTATATCACTATAATATTATATTTAAAAAATTAATAAAACAGATATGAAGACTTACTTGTTCGACAGGCTTCGCCGTGCAAAATGCTCCACAAATAATCTGGAGAGAAGGCAGACCAACTTTAGAGAGAAGTTAGAGAGAAAGTGTGAGATGAAAAAGTGAAATTTTTGAGGTTTTATAGGCCAATCAATTCACGCCTGGATTGGGCGTGAATTGTCCCGCCCATTTTGAGCGTGAATGACGGCAATAAATTCGCACATAATTTTCAAACTACAACCTATTCGTAATTAATTATTAAAAGTGTAATATTTTAATTTTTTTTTTCCATATATAACTTAACTCTACTGATAATCATAAATTCCGGGAGTCTCTTTCAGGACATTTACGGTTGATGTGATACTTCCGTTTAGTCTCAAAAAGAAAATTGGGGAAGATTTGAGAAGTTAAGGAAGAATGGTCATTTACCTGAATCAGTATCTACAAGAATTTCTCAAGTTCAAATTTAGGTTCTAGTGACAGCCAACTGAGATCTGATATTGATGTTTGTGTAATTGGTAATTGACAAACAAAGAACATAATGAATCCGTGTATGAATATAAATTCTAATCAAAGTTCAGCTTCAAACAGTTACTTCTCCTGGAAAGATATTAAAACTGTTTGTGATTATCTATCACTCTTTTTCCTTTTTGGGGTTTGGTAGCTTGGGGTTACTGAACTGAGGAGAACCCTATTAAGAATCTAATTATCTCAAGTAATAAGTGTCGGTATAGAGTTAGGCAACTCTGCACTTTGCAGTTCTAAATCCTGTTTATTGTTGATTCAATTATACACAAGCACACGTTTCCAACGCAGTAAGGTGGGATGCAGGGTTTATGGAAAGAGAATGAATTAACTTAATTTGTGTTGCTACACATGTCCTTGTTTTTACAATTTTTGTCACTAGCTTTTTACTTAAAAACATTAAAGATGGATTGCAGGTTAATCTACCATTTTAAAGAATGATATAACATTAACCCTTCCTTAATTCTTTTCCTTTGAGAATGGCCGGAGTTATCTGGTTGACCTTTCCGTGTATTCGGTACATAACACTAATAAACTTACTTTTTGAATTAAAAGTTCGTGAAAGAAACTGTTCTCTCAACGTGTTGCTTATAAAGTGGCCGACGATGGTTTAGCAGAACTCCAAAATCATTGTCAGTTTTCTCAAAATTCAAAAGCCTAGATTTTCTCCTTTCTTTATTGGTAACAAATATTTGCTTACATTGAGTGGCTCTTTTCAGTTTTAGACTTTTTTAGTTATTGGAGTTTTGTTTTTTCCTCATTGCACCAAAATTTGACTCTTAGAAAGCCAAGTACCAGGTGTAATGTACATCAAGAAGAAGAAGCCGCAACATCTTTTGGTGGTTGATCTTCTAATGTTTCATTACGCAAATGCTCCACCGTCTGAATCTACAAAAGATTCGATTGACATTGATTCATTTGGAAGCTGGGATACTTCCTCTTAAGTGTACGAGAAAAAGGAACTTTGGTTCACACTATTCACCATTTCACTTCCTCCCCCATTCCCTCCTTTCTGGCTAAATATCTCTTACCTCAACTTTCAACTGTCAATCTTGTACTTTTATTCAACAATTCCTTCTGCCTTTTTGCCCCCTCTATTTGGTGGTACATAAATTATCAAATATAAGTGAACATCAGCAGAGTGATTAAATTCCCAAACTAATAACTTTATTCTCTTGGCTGGAAGCAATCCCTATGTACCGGAGTGTTCAGAATTGGCAAATACATTTTTTTTTAAAGTTGTTCGCCCTACTATTTACCGGGAACTAAGTAGGAGTGATCTGTCACGAAAATAGTAACAATAATAATTATAATAGGAAGATAAATATGGAGTGATTTCCAGTTGAAAATTACACCATTAAAGGCAAGTGATCTGTCAAGGGTCACTTGAAAACAGAACACCTAGACCGATGGCTTCTTGGCATGTCAATTGGTCGGTTTAACAGCTCAGGACCCAGAATTCGCCTTTTGAGGTTAGGTTCAAAGCCATCTCATGACTTTTCTTTGAAAAAGTTTCCTATACTTGATTCTTCCAAGGTCAAATGAAATCTTTTGGAGTGTGTTAAAAGAAATTGAGTTCTTTGGCTGCATGAGAAATTATAAATTAATTTGACTTCTCGTAAGTGGAATAAATCTTTGGTACTACTGTTGTATCAAAGATTCAGTACATCTCACCAATTGAAATATTACATGTGAGTTAAAATTTTCTTTTCTCTGTCAAATTTTTTCTCTATGATGTGTAATACTCTCATTGGTGAGATGCACTGAATCTTAGTGTAACAGTAGCACCAAAGATTTATTCACGGTAAGTGATGTCATTTTTAACTCGTCCAAACCTATTTTCTTTATTAGTACCATCACTTTCAAAAAATTTGTATTTCAAATCAAGAACCTGCCTTGTGTGTTTCCTTGGCAATGGTATGAACTGAATTTGATGGCGGCACCTCACTATTTCTATAGTCTCACATGGTTTTGAATAGTTAAGTTCCCCATTCATAGTAGACTTTCCTTTCCTATAAATAGGACCTCCATGATGCCACTTCAGCAATACAAATCAAAACTAAGATACGCTTCTGAGAGTCACCTAACAAGTCTTGACCTTCATTCAACATGGATACAAGAACCAAGTCTTTTATCTTGCTCGCTCTTATTCTACTTGCTTCCATGTTTGCTTCTTTACTTCCTGTATCAGAAGCCCGGCCATTGCATAGTCCTTTACCAGGCAAAGATGGTATTATTAGAGAGGTAAATGGAGTCTTCAGGACATTGAAGGGCTCTGGTCCAACCCCTGGTGTTGGACACAGGCTTAAAAAGCTTCAAAATCTTGGATGGAGGAGCCCTGGTGGAGGCCACAGACTCAAAACGTTTCATGTTCTTGAAGCGATTAAGCATTCTGGTCCTTCACCTGGTGTTGGACACAAGGTCATCATCACCAACAACCACTCATAAAGTGCCCATTCTTCATATAGGGGATGGGAATTTTCATGTTCCCCATTCTTTCGCTTTTATTTGCATTAGACCACTCATGTGCTATTCTCATTTTAACTTGTAAGATAGTTTCAGAAGTATTATTATCATAAGAGATAATATAGGACATATGAAATTAGACAATAATCCTGAAGTACTTGTCACCTACGAGTACTTGCTGCTTCTAGTAATGCCACTAAACTTGTTAATAATTGAAGATCATAGTGAACAAATACACATTGTCGGAGTTGCATTGTAACGTGTATTTGACTTGATGTATACAGTTTGCTACCCTTGTAGATTATTTTCTTTTTCTGTTTAATGCTATAGCAAAGATATTAAGATCAGTGGGAAATACTTAGTGGAGGCTGCATTGTCACATTTGTTTTACATATATACAGTTTATAAATTCCCAAGAGGCCAAGGGAAGGAAAATGTTATCTTAAGCAGAACACCTAATGCTAAAGTTAGGGATCCTTTCTAAAGTTAGAAGTAAGGGGTTTGATGTTTCTTATGTTATAGGAAATAAAATTATATCTTATACACATAAAAATTTGTGGAGTCCACATGAAAAAAAAGAGAGAAAAAATGGGTCTCGCATATTTTTTTTGTATGTGTAGGATATAATTTTATCTTCTATAACTTTAGACACATTAAACCCTAGAAGTAAACTACTCAATTTAAGTTTAACAAGAAATTTTACATACTCAACAGTAATGATACTGTTTGTCAAAGTTTTTTGTAAAGCTATCACGAATGTTTAACAATCAATCGTGATTAGAGAGCAAAATAAGTATGATTGAATAATAAAAATTAACTAACAAAATACAACCAATTTTTTTTTTCTCTTTTTGTAAATCA